CTCTTACTCAGGTGACTTTTGATCTCCCTCATACTAAAATCCAAAACCCTTACAGTGGTCCATAAGACTATATATACATGGATCTGGCCCCTGACAAGCTGTCTGATTTCATATCCTCCCATTCTCTTTCCTGTTCACTTCCAATCTGGCTACACTGGGCTACTACCACAAACCTTTAGGCTCATTCTGTCTCAAGGCATCAGCAACATGGTTTGCACCCTCACTTTATTCAGGTGTTTACTTAAATGCCATCTGTTCTGACAGGCCTTCTCTATCCATCTATATAAAATAGTATGCCCAAGATCCCACCCTGTCACTTTACTCAGCATGCTTTACCTTTTTGTCAAAGCAGTCATCACAGCCTGCTGTATGCATAAAGTGTGTTGGGAGGAACGTGATGGGAATCTGTCTCCATCCAGTATAGTGTAAGCTGTAAGCATTATGGAAGCAAAAACTTTGTTCACGGATGTTTCCCTGACAATAACCATTGTCAGTCCTGTCTCTGATTTAGTGCCAGGATATGAGAGAACTCCAGTATTACCATGCAGCAATATAAGACTTGATTGTAGACTGGTGGCCCAAGGAAGAGGGGATGACTATCTGTCTGTTCCCAATAGGATGTAAGCTCCAAGAGAATAGAGACTTTGACAGTAACGTTTACTTCTTGGTCAAGTTTGAGACTCCTGACTTAAAGCAAGCTGGTGTAACATCAGTAATATTACCATGGGATGCTATGAAACTCGGTTTTAGTCTAGGAGCACAGAAAGTTAAGGAGTAAAGGCACCGTTGGTGAGCATAGTATTCTATATTGATTTTTGTTTTTATCTTCCTCTCACTGAGACTTAGTTCCATATTTTGCTCACTGCTATACAGCTGACCTCTGAAACAGAGTTAGAACTAGGGTGAAACTTTGCTCTAACAAATTGTGAGATAGTACCAAATCACTATGAGCCAATGTAATGCCTAAGGGCCATGGATGTTCGTGGTTCTTTTTCTCCCCTCATTAGGATATATATTTCTACAGAGCCAGGTATTTTGTGTAGATTGTTCATTGTTCTATCCCAGATCCTAGGCCAGGGCTGAGTCTCTCTTATTGAATGTTAATAACCCAGTCATCATGAAAATATAAAACAATCAGGACTTGGGGCCTAGTGGGAGAGCAAGAACGAGGAAGCATTATTATGTATCTAAAATGTACACACGTCTGTATTTTTTGTTGTCTAAAAACTATATAACATATAGTCACATAGTACACATGCATTCCTCTAACCCTTTAATATTTATCACATTTTTCCTTGTTTTATAGACTTTTATACCTACCTTATATCTTTGTTATTGGTCTGAAGGCTACCTGAAGGATAAAAAAAAAACGTGTTAAGTAAGGAAAGTTTTTTTTTTTGCCCACTGTGGTGTCCTAAACTCTTAAAACAGTGCCAGGGGGCCGGCCGAGTGGCGCGATGGTTAAGAACTCGCTTGGGACACCAGAGGGCCCCGGTTCGGATCCCACATATGAGGGCCAGTGACACTGCCCTCTACAGCTAAGATGCTGAATAACAGCTCAACCTGGAGCTGGGCAGCCGTGAGTCGCTGGCGACGGCGGAGGCTGCAGCCCCTGTGGCAGTGGGTTGCCATGGGCTGCCTTGTGCAGCCAGCAGCCAGCGTGAGCGGCCAGCAGCCGCAGTGAGCGGCCGTCCAGAAGCCGGCGACTGATCTGCCTCGCCCGGGAAGAGCGCAATGATGGTGCCAACTTGCGCCAGTGAAGCAACGTCCTCCACAACTAGACTGAAGAACAAAAAAACGACAGCAACTTGTCTGTTCCCCTTCCCCCAATCCCCCAGCACTGTTCCCATCCCCCCAATTCCCCAATAAAAATATTTAAAAAAAAAACAGTGCCAGGATTAGGGCCAGACTTGCTCTGAGTGTCAGAATGTGGGATATCCCCAATATTATCATGGAAAAAATATAAGACCTATTTTTGATCTTGAAGCCAGGGGTGGATTGTGGATATGTGCTTTACTACAGCCAAGATACAATCTCCATGAGCTGAAACTTTGTCTTTTTTAGTCAATTGCCAGTTTTGTGGCTAGGGCCATGCCTCCCTGAGTGTCAGGAGTGGTACAAGTACCTGAAACAGCAACTAGTATTCTAACTAAGGTTTGTTATTGGTTGTTTTTGTTGTTGAAATCCATTTCCCAATTTGAAAAAAGAAGAGCCCTACAAGAAAAACCAAAATAAATTCCACATGGTTTAGGGTTTACCATTCATGTTGAAATTTAAAAAAAAAACACAAAAATCAATACTATTATTAATCATGGTTATATTTGCAGTAAATACATAAAACATAGGCAAGATTCACATCAAATTCATAACAGTATCTGCCTCTGCCGAAGAAGGAAACATTATGGTATTCGGAAAGATATTTATTATTTGTAATGCTCTGACTTTTTAAGAATATAAATCTGTATCTAAAACAAAGATGCCGAAATGTTGACATTTGTTCATTTTAGATGAAGTTAAACAAATGTTTACCTTTTATACTTTCCATATTATGCTTTAATTTTTTTAAAATAAAATATGACGAGAATTTAAAATACCATTAGAGCTGATGACTTTATTACAGTATTTTCAGAATTGAACGTATCTAGGACATATGCATATGCAACACACAATGACATAAAATATCAGAATAATACAATCAAGAAGCTGGATAATAGAGAAAACTTTAAACTTTGTAATTTCAGAGACTATACATTCCTTTTTAATAGAAAGTTTGAATAAACCAATTACTATTGAAGAGATAAGAAAGCTGATTAAAGATCTACCATCAAATGTGCTACTGGGATTAGATTTACAACTTAGTACATGCTAATTTTAAAAGAACAAATAATTCTAATGCTATTTAAACTATTCCAGACCACAGAAAAATACTGAAAACTCATCAATTTTTTAAGCTAGCAGTTTTAATAAAAACACTTGATAGAGTGTAAGAAAGAAAAAATATAATTTCACTTTGTAATGTAAATGCAATAATTCTAAATAAAATATTGGTAAATAAAATCCAGCAATGGATCAAATGATTATCACACCATGACCAAATAGGATTTATTCCAGTAATACAAGTTTGGTTCAACATCAAACACCTGCCACTCTAATTCATTATGTCAACAAATTAAGGGAAAAATCCTGATTTTATCAATACATGCTGAAAAGTCATTTGATAAAATTCAGAAGCCACTTTTCGTAATAATGCTATGTAAAACAGGAAATAGAAGAAACTCCCTAAACATGTTAATAATGACTATTTACCAATAACCAATAGCAAATGTCATATTAATAGGGAATACTAAAGACAATTCCATGGAAATTAAGAACCAGACAGGCATGTCTGTTAGATCATTTTTCAATATTGTTTTTGGAGAATCCAGCTAATGTAATAATAATCAATACAAACATTAGAATAAAATTATCTCTCTTTGCAGGTGAAATGATTGTGTATCTAGAAAGTCCAAAATATTCTACCTGAAAAACCCAGTGCAATTTACAGGATTTAGTAAGCTGATTAAATAGAAAGCAAAAATAAAGAAGAGCCATGGTTTGTCTATATTGCCAAAAATAACACATTACAAATGAGCAGGAACAAATCTACAACTCAAAATGTCAAAATGTGATAAAAACTGTAAAAATATTTAGAAATAAATTTGATATGATGGACCTACATGAAGAATATTGCAAAAACAAAACCAAAAGATTTTAATGATGTGCCCAAACCCTTGAGTATTAAGGATTAGTATTATTAAAATAATCCTCTAAATATATATGCAAAAATGTAATACAATTCTAAGATATCCAATTTTTTAATATGGAAAGAATGCTTTTAATTTTCATATGAAAAAAAGAATGTCAAGGACAAGTTATGTGAAAGAAAAAAAAATACTGATGAGAGGTAACTTGCTTTACCAGAGTCCAAAATTTAAGGTCAAGCCACTATAGTTAAAACAATGTGACCTGGCTCAGGAACTTGAAAATGGATGATTTATTTAATAAATGTGATAGCATAATCAGGTATCCAATGTAAACAAGATGTATAGTTGGACACCTACCTTATACCATATACAAAAGTAAATTCCAGATGTAACAAACAGAAAAACCTTAAAATTAATGCTTTAGAAAAAAAATGCAGGAGAATATTTATATGATTTGGGTGGGGGCATTAATTTGAGAAAGACAAAAAGCTAAAAAGGAGATAGCTAAATAAAAAAATTTTAAAAGCCGTAAAGTAAAAGATACCATCAATAAAGTGATAGAAAGGAAAAAAAAATCACAACACATATGGTTAATATACACCATATAGCAAATGTAGTAATGATTCTTACAAACTTATAAAGAAAAGAGCAAAAATTCAATAGATAAATGAGCATAGGATAAACACTGGTAAATCCTAAGAAAAAAAATCCAAACATCAAAAACAAACAAGCCCCCAACCCCCTCCCCAAGAGATCTCATTGAGTTTGCCAATTAAAGAAACAATACTATGTAATTTTTCACCTTTCTGATTTGCAATCGTTAAAGAGTGCTGGAGAGCAGGCTGGAAAATGAGCACTTTCATTTGGGACGATAATTTTGTAATATCTTTTAAAATTAAATATATGACTACCCAGCAATCTCAGTTCTGGGAATCTACCCTATGAAAATAAAAGCACTAGTATAGTGTGGAGTGAAGCAGTGCTATGGTGAAAAACAGAAAGTAAATAACTTAAAGGACCACCAACAATGGAATGGTTGAATACCTTTCAGGTACTTAAATATGCACTGTGTATGCAGCTGTTGGGGGCAGGAAGCGAGGGGGAGGAGGGAGGGAAGTAAGGAAGGAGGGAGACAGTGGGTGACATTTACTAAATGTGATGGCACAATCAAGTATCCAATATGAATAAAATGTATATTTGGACCTCTGTCTTATAACATATACAAAAATAAATTCCAGAGGGAGACCAGAGGGAGAGGAAAGCAGGAGAGGGAGGATAGTGAGAGGCAGAGGCAGAAAGAAAGGGAGAGGCAGAGGGAGAGGGAGAGAAAGATATCTGCTGCTACTGATCAGAAGGGATTTCATGGGTATGCCAAGTGAGAAAAACAATTAGAGTAATGATGCAGCTTGTCATTTTTACAAAACCAACAAACTTTTTTGTGAGAGGATGGGAAAAACGTGGAAGGATATACATCATGTTAGTATTTTAAAAAAAATTTTAACCTGGGGGGAAGAAAGAGGGAAGGTAAGGAAATGGGGGAAGGATATGGTACGGGGTTACATCATTAACTTTTCTTTACCTGATTTTTCATTGTTTCAATGGTCACAAACACTTTTCAATTTTATTAGCACCCAATTTAAAATTTCAATTACAGAACAAGGCAATGTCGTAGGTACCAAAGTACACTTGGGCAAAACTGCGGAACTAGTCAATATAAGATTTGGAGGCACAGTTAAGTAACAAGTAATAAATTCCTGAATCCTGACACCAAAACTGTTCTCAAAAGTTCACAATTACATGAACATGACATATTTTACATTCAATAGTTCCACAACTTTTGCAAAGAGCACAATGACTTTAGTTGTTTTTCACCAAACCATAGACATAAATGTGAATATCATCATCAAACTTAATAAAGTAGACAGACGGCTTGGCCACCACTTGATGGATGAAAATGCCGGTTCTCTTGGACCCATCATCTTTGGCGTGCTCCACCTGCTTGCCCACGAGGCTGTCGACCACTTCTCCAGGCTCTCGTTCTGCTGTAGGGAAATAGTAGTTGGAATCTGGAATGATGCGCAGGTCACCATCTTTGTAGTCATCCAGCAGCGTGTACATATAAAGGACCGGATCTTTCTCGTAGGTGATGTAAAACCAAGTGTCCATCACGGGGGCTCGCGCCAGGACCATGCCCTTCCATTCATCTTTTCTACCGTGCTCACCTTCAAACACATGCCCCACTGCCTTGCCAATCAGGGAATCTGCCAGGCGCGAATCAATGCGAGGAGTTGGCACTCTCTCAGGAAGGATCTCTAGCGCTAAAACTCTCTTATCTCGGTGCAGTTCTAGCCCATACACACTATCTTTGCCATCGTATTTGATGATGTAGAGAGTGGGCTTCACGGAAACCTGCTCCAGCACAGTGCCCTTCCACTGCTCCACCGGCTCGTTGCCTTCCTTCCAGCCGTGTTGAATGCGGCAGCCCACGATGTTCCTACGGGTGAGGAAAGTGGGCTTGCGCCGCTGCTTCCTGTGGGTGTGCCTTTTCTTCATCAGGTATGCGGATACCCCGTCTACGCCCATCGGAGGCACAGTTGGGGGCGACATGGCTCGCGTTTTAAGGAGGCTCCGACAAAGCTGCCACTTGCTCGATTAAGTTTAAGGAGGTTCGGGCAAAGCTGCCACTTGCTTGATTACGCTGAGAAAAAGTGATTAAGCTGAGAAAAAGTCAATGCTTATCCGATATGAGATCTTTTTTCGTGATCTCTGATTCCCCCTCAGTCCTCCCTTCACCGAGCACAAGGCTTTCACCAATTCTGGTTAGAAACGCTCTAACTCTCACCGTGGGCACTGGGACAGCCTGGGCCTCTTGATAGTCTTCTCCTCTCCCGCCGGGGAGGGGTGTCTGCAGCAGTGGCGGTTGCCGCAGGAGATGGCGCGCTCGCTTGTGCTGCCCGCGCCGGCTCCCGCCCGGACTCCCAACCCCAATTCCCTAATTGACCACTTAGCTGTTATAGCTGGTGCTGCGGCTGTGAAACGGCGACGGTGACGGAGACGACGGGAAAGGGAGGCAAGGAATGAGAGAGATGGCTGCAGCTGCAAAGGCGCCTGCAGCGGCGGGTCTCCGACGAGTCCGCGCGGCCTCGGCTTCGCTGCGCTGGACTGTTCGGCCTAGCTCTGGCGCCGGGGTTTTTGCCGCTTCGGCAACCGGACCCCTCTGAGCCCGCCTGCACTCGGCCCCGCCCCCCGCCATTCCCCCTTCCGCTCGGTCCACAGCAGCAGGGCGGGTCAGTGCGCGCACCCGCCTTCAGTCCAGAGTTACAGGCGCTCACTCCTTCATTTCCTCACGCGCCCCCCGACCGCTTCCCTCAAACCGGAGCCAGACTGGCCGGCTCCCCTCCTCCCTCTCTCTGGCCGCCTGTCGTCCGCCAGCCTCCTCCACAGCCGCTCCATCTGCTTTCTATCTTCCAGGAATTCCTCACAAAGCCTTTAAAAAAATAATATTCAACACACACATACACACAGAGTTTGTACATACAAATTATTTTCTTTCAGTTAAAGGGATATGAGACCGGAGAAGAAAAAGCCTGTATACAGTCCACCATCTTGATACAAACTCTCCTTTCTGTTTTCTATTTAATCACTCCTGATAATGCTTTTTAAAAATAATCTTTTATGTTTTTTTAATTGTCTGAATGTAAGAGAAATGTACTGACATTTGTGGAACTTTTCTGAAATTCAGTGAAATAGAAGACAAAACTAACCTCAATCGCCTTAATCTTACCATCTAGACATACACCAAAATGTTATGATTTCACTCTCATTAATAAATCTATGCTTATATTTCACAAAACTGGGAGATTTCATACATTTATAAATGAATTTTTAAAAATTAATATCAGCAGCATTTCCCAAGGTAATAACTACTCTGAAAATGTAATTTGTAATGGTTCCGTAATGTTCCTTTGAATGGATGGTCCATTATTTATCCTAAATGATCTATGACAGTATAGATAATTAAACTAGTTTACATTCATGTATGGATTTATTGAGCTAGCATAAACCATATTTTCAAGGGATTTTAATGACATGGAGATCTACATGAGCTAAGAATGATGTGTGCAAAAGCAGGATATTGAAACAAAATTGTGGCTCCAACTTCGTAGAAAGGAAAAAGAAGGGTTATTTGTCATATATATTTCTTGTTTTTCTGATTATAAATGTAATGCATGCTCATATGGAAAATCTGAAAGAAAAAGTGTCCATAATTTCACTACCTCAAGTTGCAGGGCTGTTATGAGGATTAAATTAGAATATCTAAAACTTTTTAGCCCTGTATCCTACTTTATGAATGGCAATAAAAACCAGGGAATTCTAGGCCCCTCATTCTCATTCCTCTACCCTTCACTGGTGACAAGACATCATATCATCATGGGTGAAAAAAAAAAAAGAGATGTATAAATGTAGGAAAGCAGGGGGAGAAAGCTGCAATGCAGCGATACTGGCTCCCTCCACATTTCACTACCTTCCAAGACAGGGACAGGAAAACCTAGTCCTTATCCCATTTAATAGCTGATTGGGCAGAACATGCTTGGATTCCCCAATTCCCCGTGTTTCCCAGGCCAAGGAATTTTGAGATGGGATAACTCTCCAAACTATAATACAAGAAAGTAATTCCAAGGAAAAAAGAAAACAACACACACTAAAAGTTATTTCCATACTCTTTAGAATGGCATAGTGGTGTATATATATTCACACACACACACACACACACACATATCTCTATATATAGATATAGATATATATGATTTACACACTGAAAGTCAGAAGGTATGTGTAAATATCGTGCCATTATGTTTCACAAATAATACCCTCCAGGTAATCCCCTAGACCAAGATGTGCCAAGCTCCTTTTGCCTAGAAGTGTTGATAGGTGAGAGGAAAAGACCACCCGCAGAGCCCATAAATGCAGGGAAAAGAATTTACTCCGGCCCTTCGGTTGTATACTTCAATGGAATTCCTGCTCATGACCCCACAAAGCAGCCTGAGGAGACCAAATAATTTTTTAATATTCTTTCTTCTCTAAAACTATGATTCTGATGTTTAGATCATTCTCTAACATTATGGATTCAGTGGGCCTTACCACACTGCGATATAATGTTTACTTTGTATGTCTGCCCACTAGACTATAAATCCATTCAAGAAAGGCCTTTTATCTTGCAATTCAAGTGCCTTACACAGAATAGGTACTCAATAAATATTTGTTAAATGAATAAATAAGTGGTTTCAGCTGCCCTGCTCCAATCCAAAGAAATCCTCCCAAATGAAACAAGTAGTCTTACACAAGCCTCTGAAGACTGGAGTCCTGGTGACTTAAAGTCTCTCACATCAGCTTTATTTATCCTTTCAAAACATCTAGATCACTGACCCTGTAAATACGTGTCCATAAGTCTGAAAATGATTAGGAGAACACTATCAACATGCAATATATAGATAACAATATCAACCTCAAAGGGTACCTGTGAAGAGTAAAGATAAATGCAAATGAATTTCTTAGCACATGAATTGGCTCATGGTAAGTACTCCTAGACTCCTAACCAAGCCCTTTTCTCTTACCAGGTCTTTCTACAAACCACCTGCTCATGTCCCACCTCTAAACTTCTGCTCTGTTTTACACTCAAGCCCTCTTTTTTTTTTTTTAGCTGAGCCATCCTGCTACCTGTTGGCAGCTCAGCGGCTGCTCAGCTCGGGCTGGACTCGAATCGCTGTTGCTCAGAGCTCAAACTCTTGAGTGAGCTCTTAACCAACTGAGCCACTCGGCTGGCCCCCACTCAAGCCCTCTTGATCAGGGTCTGAGTGTGAATGGAGGAGGCACTGTTGGCAAGATTTTTTCCCTCATAGCTAGTTTCAGAGCAGTCTTTCAAATGCTGCAAGTTTTTGGAAGCCCAAATTCTGGATAAATAAAGCATTATTTAAAATAAGTTTGGGAGATACAGTGTTAATTCATAACCTGAAGGATGGTAGAGTTAGGCATAAATGTCATTAATGCCATTGTACAAGGCAAACTATAATACATGCTAAGAAGTACAAAATTATTACTCACTGGGGACCCAAAGGGGGTAGTGATTTGTTATGGTTGGAGAAATTGGAAAAGACAACTTGAATGGGTAAGACAACAAAAGGAAGACAATCAGAAGGTGGTAGATTAGTGAGGCCTTGTCAGTCTAAGCCAAAAACAGCTGGAGGACAGGCACAGAGGGATGCATGGACATAGGATATGTGAAAAACTGGTCAGGAGCTTGTGGCTGGAGCACAGAGTTTGCCAGGCTAAGGAATAGGGGATGTGGTTTGTGGTGGGAAATAAAGTTAGTAAACAGCCTCAAATGCAGGAAATTGATCTTAATCCACTGCTGGGTGGAAGCAGGTAATGTTCCAATTCCTCTGACAGTATAGTGTTGGCAGAACCAAGTAGAGATCTGATCTTCCATGCTCCTTCTGGCAGAAGCAGGCAGTCCTTCCCTAAGCAAGAACTGCTTCCCTGTTGGAAGAGTAGCATAGGTGGTGCTGAGCACAGGGCTGATCTTCCAGGCCCTTGCATGGTGCTCTGACTCCCTTGCCAGAGAAGTGTCAGTGAAGCTTAGTGATGAGTTGTTCTTTCACAGTTATCCATTGGTATAAAGTAATGGTAGTGATCTCTATGCTATAGCCTTTCCCCACCTTCTCCCCCGCCCATATCAACACAACAGCAATGATACTAAGTGAGGCAGGGCTAGTCAGCACTCTGTTTCCGTACACCCTGTCAATGAAACCCAGTGAGGACTGAGCTTTTGTTCCCACCCGTCATCAATGAGACTGAATGAGGGGAACAAGATGGGACTAGGTGGTACTCAACTTTCCCTACACTCTTGGTGTCAGTGAGACCCAGTGTTCAGATAAGCCTCCACTCCCACTTGGAGGCAGTGAGATGGTGTGAGTCAGTACCCAACTTTCACCATGAAGAAATGGGCAGATCTGAGAAGGGTGCTAAACTTCTATCCATCCTATCTATGTGCAATGAAGCAGTGTGAGTCAGAGCTTTGCTTTTGCAAAGGTGGTCTCAAGAGATCCCACAAGAAGCCAAACATGCACACGCACCAGATCCTCCAGCTACATAACAACAGGAGAGATGTCTGATAAAAACAGGTTATATAGAATACAGGGTCTTATAATATATCAAAAATGACAAGGATGAAATGAAAATCACAAGCCATATGAAGAACAAGGGAAATCACAGCTCGAATGAGACGGGAGCCTTACCAAATGGAAATTTTAGAATTGAAAAATGAAATAACCAAAATAAGTCTCATGGGATGGAATCAATATAAGACTAGAGATGACAGAAGATAGAATCAGCACATTTGAGGTCAGAAAAATAAAACTTACCCCATGTACACAACAGAGAAAAGCAGACTGAGGAAAAATAAAAAATAGTCTCAGGAACCTGTGAGCCAACAAAAGAACTAACATTTACAGCTGCCTTAAAGGAAGTGAAATTCTTAGGTATAGATCTATCAAAACATGTACAGGATCTATATACTGAAAATTAAAAATGTTAATGCCAGAAATTAAAGAAGACCTAAACAAATGGAAGGGCATACTGTGTTCATGGCTTGGAAGACAACATAGTAAAGATGTTAATTCTTTCCAAATTGATCTATAAGTTTAATGCAATTTCTATGAAAACATGAGTGAGGTTATTCATATAAATACACAGGATTCTCCTTTTTATTTTTGAATTAAGAAGAAAAACAAGTAACATGTTGGATTCTATGAACACTGAAGAAGGTAATGTAATATTCATATGAATTAGGCTAGCTATTCTTAAGCAGTTCAGTTGCTACAGATCTGCAAAATTCCTGTTCCTTTGGTTAAGAATGGAGAGATGCCACCTCTATCATCTTTTATATGTGCTTTCATTCTACAATGCAGTATAAAATTATTAAAGACTTCAAAATTAAAAATAAAAAAGGATATGTGTGGAATAAGATTAGAAATTTTCTTCCTTCCTTCCCTCCCTGTTTTATTGAAGATGAAAGGCACTCAATTGTCAACTGTGGTTCATTTGTGAGTACAATTACCTCTCATCCAAAGGATTTTCTTAAATTTATTTGGAAATTCACAATCTCTAGAATAGCTAGAACAATTCTGAAAGAAAAGTATATTGTAGAAAGAATCATTCTAC